AAGGTAACATTTCATGAGCAGTGAAAAGCAGCAGCAGTTTAGAAAGTAACTAGAATCGGTGACGTACTTCCGGCGCAAGTTTTTGCTGTTTGAAGTTCATCCTGTTGAACAGCAAAGCAGTAAAAGCTGTGTTTTGGTTATATATGTACATATATTCTAAAGTATGGAATCACCAGAGGTAAGTTTGTAGGAACTATAATTATAAAAATAATTACTCATTCGGTTATATCTCAATTAATATTGAAATTGAGATTAACGATTTAAAACACTGCAGAAAACCTATTTCATGAGCAGCACAGCAATTCTATAAAATCACCAAACAATGCTAGTTAGTTACTAAACTGCTGCTGCTTTTCACTGCCCATGAAATGTTATCTTTATGTATCCGGTTCCGGATTATTATCTGATAGGAAATTAATTATTATAAAATAAACTATTATTTCCCAAACGTTGAAAACATTACAGACGTGTTTCCCATATGATTTCACGTTGATTAAAATAAAAAAAGAATTTTTTTTAAATTATGTCTGCTAACTATACGCTCAATTAATTTTCATTTATTATAAATAAATTATTATTTCCTAAACAATGAGAATATATTCCTAAATTTGCCCAAACGATTCCCAAATGATTGCAATAATAAAAAATATCAAATTTGTCTGCTAAGTCTAGATCGAGAATTCGTATCATATCTGCTCTGCATTGGCGTCGCAATGACCAAATCGGCACATATTATACTAGCCAATCATGAAATGACTGGTCACATGACCCGTTGGCGCCTCTCTCTCAGAGGCTTTCTAATCTGTATTGTATATATTATTCAAAGTTGCTCCAAAACATACAATATGTAAAAAAAACATTCTAAGATGTTATATTTATATAATTGGCTTCTATTTTGTAACCAAACATTATTATAGTCTTACAGATTATGTTTATAAATACAGGATTCATCTCTAATGGAATAAATCTATATTTAATAATTTTCTATTCTTTTGGCAAAAATAGTGTTTTTTTGTAAATATAATTTAAACACAATTATTTTCAGTCACTCACCTATAAAGACTTTGAAATTCGTTTTCCGGTATCGCAAATGGATCTGAGACATCCCATAGTCTTCTTCGTATTTTCCCGATTTCGTATAAATATCACAATCATTACGTTATCCATTTTTCGTAACTGTTGTTTGATTTCACCTTTTCACGTGAAATTTCGTGTCGAACTCGCTCATGCGAATAATCTCGTATTTTCACGAGATGAGATCAACCATAATTGGGTGAGTTACTCACTTTCGTCATTTTCACCCAATCCGAGAACCGTAATAGACTCCCTTGTCAAACGGGACGCTCCGTGTAAACATAGGCCTATATCTCGTTCAAATATGTCATGTACACTATACTCTTGACTACGCATGCACGAAAAATTTCTTTATCACTGGTAATTCTGTCACGGACAGATTTTTATAATATAATATGAATAATATAATATGAAGGCCATCCCACGAAAGATTTGCACAAACGATTGCAATAGATCTCGTTGGAATATCTTACCTAACTATGACGATTATCTCATCGAAGAAAACGATAATATTAAAAGTGAGTGAGGATGACAGGCAAACTAGTATGCCTCAAATATTTAAATTCCAAGAAATAATTTTTAATAGAATAAAAAAGAAAATATTGCATATATTAATATTATCAGCATTATATTATATATATATACATACATAATTTTTATCTATTGTATATATAAATACGTTAAGTGGTAAAAATGTTATATAGAAGTTGAAACGGGAGATAATTTTGCGGGTGTGCGTTACAACGGGAAGGACTAATAACGATGAGGTCACGCATAGAATGTGAAATACGGCGTATTGCGTTATTGAACGATAACCGCAAGTTATTAGGGTCGATTGACGAGTAACTCGATGTAAGGAGCGCGTAAAACGTTCCTCGCCGTGTGCGTGCGCGTATAAAGCCATGTCTCCGGCTTAATTGTTGTACTCTCGCTATTGGTGTTGCACGGGCGATCTTATGTGTGTAAATTACTCCCGTACAAATGTCCGTTTGACAGATTCATTCTCTCTACATAAACACTCACGTACTCGACGTTCCATTAATACTCGTGCTTTGATCGGGCACGGGTAATAATCTGTCTAGTTTCTTCGACTTTGGCGCGCATTTACATCTTTCGTTCGTTTTCGAAATATAGATTTCGTGTGACATTATTAAAAGAATACGTTGTACACACCGAGATTTGTTGATTTAAAGTGCGGATTGTACTGTTTGCAAGAATAAGTTAAATAACTTCGCTGTAAGAACTTGGTAAGTTTGCTTTTTTTTCGATAGATCACACACACACAATTATTTTTTTCTCACAGTACCTGGATAGAAAATGGCTAAAAAATTTTTAATCTACAAAAAAAATTTTTTAGATCTCTTGATTCAAAAATTTAAAGTAAATCTATTCTTTTTCAGATTGAGATTTGCTTTTGAATATAAAGTAAATCTATTCTTTTTCAGATTGAGATTTGCTTTTGAATATAAAGTAAATCTATTCTTTTTCAGATTGAGATTTGCTTTTGAATATAAAGTAAATCTATTCTTTTTCAGATTGAGATTTGCTTTTGAATATACATATTTGAATTTCCTTGCATATTCTTACGTACAATGCTCGCATCAGAATTTATTATTATGTTCTTTAATTAAAATTTTTTTAGTTAATCTTTAATTACTTATGTATTTATATGACAAGTCAATAAGCAATAAATGCTATATACTGTAAGATAATTGAGTAGAGTTCTTTTATTATTTTAGCATAATTGATTTCCTTAATCTTTGAATTCACGAAATATAGCTAGTCTAATAATTTTTTTCATTTTTTTGATAGTTTTACTTTTATAGGAAAGAATTTATTTTATTGTATGTTCTTATATATAATCGGTTATTATATTGAGAGTAGAATAGTAGAGGAGGTAATAGGTAATTATAAGAATATGTTACAAATTTTTTTTTGTGATACTTAATTTTTAGGATTACATAAATTCTATAATATATAAAAAGTCCAGACAAAATATATTTTTCTATTTCTCTATATCCTTTGTACAAATTAGCAAAAAATAATGGAAAAATAGATATGTAAAAAAATAATTATCTTCTATATACTGCTTTTAATTTTTACTAAGATGGATATCACATTAGATATCAGCGGACGGGGCACACGCGATATTATACTATGATAAATCCTGTTTATTTGTTCCGTCTTCTTACTAAATGTTGTCAAACTCCTTATTTTCAAGGTATATACGTTATTTATGTTTATCTCATCAGCCGATACTTGAATAATAGCTCATTCATCGCTTGCTCTTCATTTATCTCGCTCAGCGATTCTGCGGTCAGCATAATTTTATGGGACAAGTCTTAAAAAATAATATCTCCGTATCATTTATACGCTGCTCTCGATCAGATTACTATATAAACGCAATTTATTGTATATTAATTTTTATCTATAGTCATGACATGTATATGATTATTTTCAGAAAAAATGCGAAGTGGCAGTAGTTTGAATCAATTCAACGACGATGACTCCTTTAGTGGTGGACCATGCCCGTCGTGCAAATTGGCAATTGACAAGGAGACTGGTAGACTCAAGTGTGTGTCAAGTTTTGCATTGTCTGTTTCCTACAAATTTCAGATTAAATTTCCCGTATTTTTATAAAGTGAGTGACTTTTTCGCACAATGCAGATGGTGTACTGGCGGAAGTGAAGCGTGGCGTTTTTGTGTCAAACTAATGCTTCTGATACCCGCCGTATTGTTACCGATTACTATAGTGTGTATTGCTCTGTCGCATTTTCAAACTACAACCAAAGTCTCCGAGCCGCAAACATTTCCCATCTACGAAATGCAGGAACAGGATGAACAAAAGATTAAAGATGACATCTCTTGGTGTAAGTTTTATGGTCGCGAGTATATGATAGTTGTACAAACACCGAAACAAAATTAAGAATTTTTATTATTACCGATAAACATACATGAAAAAATTTGCAATTTTTACTTAACAATTACTATAATAAAATCAAATTTATTTCAATAATTAAATGGCATTTTGATGAAATATTGAACACATACAACATATACACACACAAGACATAATGCAATGCAAAGCTAAAAAATTAATTAGTTTTGTTACTATTTGCCATAATGATAAATAAAAGACATATATGAAATAGCATACATATATAAAACATAAATCTCAATATTATATCAAGTTATATCAAACTGCATTATAAAAAAGGAGATTATAGTCTCTATATTTTGAATTATTCCATAATGCATAATGGAGATGAAAGATGTTAAATTACAGATTCTTGAAGAATGTCTGTGAATGATTAATTTTACGTTATCAGCTACCAGTCGCAATGACGTAAAGCATGGAGCCGAAGAAACCGAAGACGAGGATCGAGTTTTACTCCCCGATATGAAAACGAGTTACGTACCTGTAGACATGCATCCTCCGCTTCGATCCGCGTTCCAGCGACGGAAGAGAGACATCGATGGGGTATTTTATCTCCAAGCAAATTCAAAGCAATCTCAAACTTAGGTTTTAATTTGAAAATTTGAATTCCACCTTTTTTCTTTTCTTTCCTCTTCTACCGTCTCTTCATTATTCGTTCTTTCTTTTCTCCCTGTCCTGTTTCCATATCCTTAAGTCTACATTTATCTATGCACGGCACAAGCAAAAAAGTGTATTCCGAAAACGATTCTTTTCAGGAGAATCGCACGAGGAATGGTATCGAATCGGGCGATCGAGTAATGTCCTCGTTATATCCACATTTAATTAATGGCAAATTGACAGATTCCTTTTTGAGCAGAAAATTAGATAGGAAAAATGATACGGTGGAAAGATCCTTTTCAGATAATGTGAATTATATCGAAGGAATAAAGGTACATTAGTATGATGATCTTGCGCTTCAGAAATTTAGTAATACTCTCACAAAAGAATATTGGTAATTCTTAAATTACCAGAAGCATATTTACTTAAAATTAAATTTAAGAAACATATTTTAAATATTTCTTTTAATTATAAATCTACAATACTTTCGATATTTTCTTACGATATTACAAGAATCCATCCGAGATATTCGGTCATTTTTAATTTGCAACAACTCTTTTTTTTTGCATTTTATGTATGAAAGGATAATTTGAGGCTTGTGATTACTTTGATTGAAAAATTCGTTCATTTGTCATCAATGTTACATAGGTGAAGGATGGTGACATAATCGGAATGAGCAACGCGCAGAATGTTAATGAAGAACTAGATAATTTCTTAAGCGATTATTATCTAGAAGTAGAAGTTGATGATACATATGAAAGTACTGGAACAAACAATCATCATTATTCCGAGTCAATGTAGTACTTCAATCAATACTGATCCGTTATTCTGATATTATCTTTTATAGATTTCAATTAGTTTTTTTAATCACACGCATGATGAATTATTTAATATATTCCAGAAAGAATGAAGAGACGATGCCATATTATAATAATAAATACGAGGGCATAGATATTGAAGAACAGTTGAAAGAGGAGTCGGTTTTGAGAAAGGAAGATAGATTCTCTATTTTCACCAATGATACCAAAACATGGTTGTCAGTGGCTGATAGACATGATGCTATCGAGGATGACAAAATGTCCGATTTTCATACATTCTGGAAAGGCGAAGGAAATATTAAAAGTATCAGAGAGACTCGAGGTATATCTCGAAAATATCTCTTTTATAATTCCGCACTGTTATAATATTCGTCGATAAAACACTGGCAATATACTAAAAATTAAAAAGAGTTTATTGAATGCAGCACAAACAATGCTGAAATATATGGATAAGAGTATAGATCCGTGTAAGGATTTCTATCAATACGCTTGTGGTAATTGGGCGAAACTCAATCCTATCCCGAAAGACAAGGCTGGCTATGATACCTTTGAGATGCTGAGAGAATCACTGGATTTCGTACTCAAAGAATTATTAGAGGAACCGATATTGTATAATGTCGATGAATTAGATGCTGATGACGCTACGGTAAAGGCGAAACATTTGTTTCAAAGCTGCATGAACTACGGTAGGTAGGCATAGACATTGCACAAGTATTTGCGCGAATTACTTAATATGACAAGAATGTGGCTAGAGATTTTGGAGCAACGTATGGAAAGACCACTTATCCAACTTGTGGACGAACTTGGCGGTTGGCCGATTCTAAGGCCAGACTGGGACCCCGACAAATTTGACTGGCTTCTCTTGACCGCAAAACTTCGATTGTACAATAACGACGTATTAATTTCAGAATGGGTGGGTCCAGATATTAAAAACAGCGACAAATACGTGATACAGGTAACAGGCAACTTATATTGTCGTGTCTTGCCACAAGTATCAAAAGATTTCTTTTACAGTTTGATCAAACGTCACTCGGGCTTCCTACGAGGGACTATTTCCTTCAACCGTCTAACGCGGTTTATCTAGAGGCTTATAAGGATTACTTAATAAAGATTGCAACTTTACTCGGTGCATCTTTAGATAATGCGACCATGCATGCTGAAGAATTGATTAAATTCGAAACGCAGCTCGCGACAGTACATACCATTCATTATCATGCACATTTGCATATATGTATATCATGCGCGATATACATTGTATATCGCACACGATATACATATTATATATAGTTTTGCTCAGACTTTTGACGCTATAATTATTGGCCTTGGATTTCATAGATTACATCATCATCCGATGAAAGACGAAATTTTTCGGAGCTCTATCAACGAATGAGTATAGGTGAACTGAAGACACTTGTGCCGCAAATTGATTGGCATCGTTATTTATCGATCGTCTTGACCCGACAAGTAAATTTTTCTGAGCCAGTCGTCGTCTTCGCGTTGCAATACATTCAAGATTTAGTTGTTTTACTTTCAAAGACACAACCTAGGTAATATACTTTATAACTTCCGCATTTTTCTATATACATTTTGTATTTTCAATACGTAAAACGTTAAAAACAATTCGTTACTTTTATAGAATAGTGGCGAATTATCTTTTATGGAGATTTGTGCGGCACAGAGTGAACAATCTAGATGATCGTTTCCAGGAGGTCAAACAAAAATTTTATCACATTCTATTCGGTAGAGAGCAAGCGCCATTAAGATGGAAAAACTGCGTAACCCAAGTCAATTCCAATATGGGTATGGCGGTTGGTTCAATGTTTGTCAAAAAATATTTCGACGAAAATAGTAAAAACGATGTGAGTATCTCCTGAGAGAGTAGCCATAAAATTAAAGAAATGGAATATAGATATACAGGGTGGATCATTAAAAATGTTACAACCTAATATTGCTGAAACTGAACGAGATATGAAAAAATAATTTATATCGACATGTTCAGTATAAAGGTAGACATCATATAATGGAAACGATTATTTTATGAGTGGAGGCGTTGAGGACATTTTAAAGTCAACTTTATTTTTTTAAATGGAACCCCCTATTTTTTATTGCATATCCTTGTAATCCTTCTTGAGACCTTTTTCAAAACACTATATTAAAATATTTTTTCATTAAATATTTTTTGAGTTATTTTATATCTTATTCTGATATATTTTGATATAAAATATAAAATATCTCGTAAAATATTTAGTTTTTGATAATCTTACCGTAATACTTTTATGTACAGAATAATGAGACAAATCAATTGGTATAAAGAAAATAATTGTTTTTAAGAAAAAGTATGTAATTACAATGTATTGTTTTTTTAAACAATTATTTTTTTTTTCATCAATTGATTCATCTCATTATTCTGTACATAAAAGTATTACGGTAAGATTATTGAAAACTAAATATTTTACAAGATATTTAATATTTTATATCAAAATATGTCAGATTAAGATATAACCCAGTGAGAAATCACAGATCGAAAAGACGGCTATTAGACGTCTATAGATGTTTATAGACATCTAATAGACATCTAATACGCTATAAATATTTTTTCGATCGGTATTTCTCACTGGCAAAATAACTCAACAAATACGTAATGAAAAAATAATACTTTATTATAGTGTTTTGAAAAATCTCAAGAAGGACTATAAGAATATGCAATAAAAGATAAGGTTTTATTTAAAAAAATAAAGTTGACTTTGAAATGTCCTCAACGCCTCCACTCATAAAATAATCGTTTCCACTATATGATGTCCCTCTTTGTACTCAACATGTCGATATAAACTATTTTTTCATATCTCTTTTAGTTTCAGCAATATTAGCCTGTAACACCTTTAGTGATCCATCTTGTATACAGGGTGAGGCATCTAAGAGAGGCCACCCGAATAACTCCCACAGTTTTGGAGATAGGAGAAAATGTTTGAAATAAAAGTTGTATGGTATCGAGGGGAAATCTTGTGGAAGTGAACATTTTTTTTTAGGTGGAGGCGCTTAGGAGATTTGAAGGTCATCTTAATTTTTTAAAATGGAAACCTCCTTTTTTTATTGCATATTCTTGTAGTTTATCTCGAGAGATTTCCAAAACACTATAATAAAGTATTTTTTCATTAAGTACTTTTCGAGTTATTTTATATTTTAATCTGACATATTTTGATATAGAAAATAAAATATCTCGTAAAATATTTAATTTTCGATAATCTTACCGTAATACTTTTACGTACAGAATAATAAGACAAATCAATTAGTGTAAAGAAAAAAACAAATAATTGTTTTAAAAAATACATTGTAAATAATTACATACCTTTTCTTAGAAACTCAAGGTCAAGTCCATATTTCCATCATGTAGCCCCCTCGAAATCATGTAACTTTCGTCTGAAACATTTTTGTCTATCGGGCTCAGTTTTCGAGATATTCGCGTGGATTGATTAAAATGATCCATTCTACATGTATATGTATATGTGTTGTATACAGGGTGTCCGATAAAGATTGTCCCAACGCTCGTGGGCGGGTAGTAAATTGAACAGAAAAGTCCTGTAACATTTTTTTCTATAACGCTTAATAAAGGAGTTATTATTGAGTAGTCTGCCAATCAGCGTCGATCTTTAGCCGCGCTCTTGGTAGTGTGCGTGAACGCTCCATCGCTACAGCGGCATTACCAGGCGGGCGGCTCACCGATGTGCGTCCGGCTAAAAATCAGCGCTGATTGACCAGACTTTACTTAATAATAACTCCTTTATCAAGCGTTATAGAAAAAAACGTTACTAATGAAGTGAGGGGGGGATTTAAGGCGGCAGGAGGCACGAACCAAGCATCCATCTCTTCCGTGACAGCGGCACTGTCGTGTCTGTGTAGGGCGTTTACACACTTCCTCAGCCCGACAAATAATTGTTAGAAAACAACATTTGCGACATATTTTGATATAAAAATTAAAATATCTCGTAAAATATTTAGTTTTCGATAATCTTACCGTAATATTTTTATGTACAGAATAATGAGACAAATCAATTAGTATAAAAAAATAATTGTTTTTAAGAAAAAGTATGTAATTATTTACGATGTATTTTTTAAAACAATTATTTGTCTTTTTCTTTCCACTAATTAATTTGTCTCATTATTCTGTACATGAAAGTATTACGGTAAGATTATCGAGAACTAAATATTTTACGAGATATTTTATTTTTTATATCAAAATATGTCAGATTAAAATATAAAATAACTCAAAAAGTACTTAATGAAAAAATACTTTATTATAGTGTTTTGGAAAGCTCTCGAGATAAGCTACAAGAATATGCAATAAAAAAGGGGAGTTCCATTTAAAAAAATTAAGATGACCTTCAAATCTCCTAACCACCTCCACATAAAAAAAATGTTTACTTCCACAAGATTTCCCCCTCGATACCATACAACTTTTATTTCAAACATTTTCTCCTATCTCCAAAACTGTAGGAGTTATTCGGGTGGCCTGTCTTAAATGCCTCACCCTATATACAGGATGAGTCATAAGTATGTTTTAAAACTTCGTGAGCATGTTCCTGGATAAAAGGTATGAACAAATATTCTTATAAACATTAGGCCGAAAATGCTTTGTTATCGAAATAATGAACACAAATAGGTATTAAGTAATAACTTTATTTAAAAAAGCCTTCGTTTCTCCAGGGAGGTAAAGAGGGGTTATTATAAATCTCGAATTGAGATTATATTTAAAATTCTTGGTATAGCACCAAGTAAATTTCGTGCCCTGTGCACATAATCAGTTTCATAGAAAACTTACTTTTCTATGAAACTGACGCACTACCATCCGCGTTCTGGCTGTTATTTAGCCCGCGATTATTTGAAATTTGTGATCTCACTTGAGAGCCTTAATTTCTTTAAATTGTTTATTTAAAAATTTCAGGTGGGTATTTTTTGGGTTTATAAGAGATGCTGAAAGTGTACCTTGTTACAATAAATTAATGAATCAATACTAAAACTGCCTCAAATATACTGACTTGATTGTAGGTACCTTGTCTCTTACTGTACTCAAGTACAGAGGTTTACATTAAAACCTCCTTCCCCTTTCTTTCAGTGAGTTCTAGTAGCGTGTGCTGGGGATCGATTGTGTATCTTTGAAACAAAGTGAAAATTACAAAAGTGAACAAATTTACTAGATTTCGACAAATGAAATCATAGATACTCTAATGAATTTAATCACTTTTATAATTTTCACATCGTTTTAAGATACACGATCAACCCCTTAGTAAACAAACACTATCCCAGAATCAAAACATTAGAGACACAACATCGTGGAAAAAAAGAATCTGATCTGAAACTCAAACATTATGAAATCTATTTGTGTCCACATTATTCCGATAACGAAGCATTTTCGGCCTAATGTTCATAGGAACATTTGTTCATACTTTTTATCCAGTAACACACTCACAAAGTTTTAAAATATATACTTATGACTCTCACCTGTATATGTATATATTATTACTACTGCATGTAAGTTGAGAGGACACGTTTTCTTCATTAATAGACATTATCGATGACTCGAGAGATACAGCGATCATTTAGAGAATTACTTGATAGAACCAGTTGGATCGACGATGATACAAAGCGTTTGGCGACTGAGAAAGTAAATGCTATGTCGCTAAGAATCGGTTATCCAGATTTTATCCTACAGCAACATCTATTGAATGAACGTTACAAGGATGTAAAAAAAATATACTTTTATATCAAATATATATACAGGGTGTCCGGTAATTTTTGACACACCCGAAGTGTGAAGGTTGATTGGCTCAAACTGAATCGAAAAGTCCTGAACTATTTTTTTTGATAACGCTTAATAAAGAAGTTATTATTGAGTAAAGTCTGGCCAATCAGCGCCAACATTTAGCCGAGCGCACCGGTCGGTGAGCCGCGCGCCGTAAAGTGTGCGCCGCCGTATACTACCAGGCGTGCGGCTCACTGACGTGCGCCCGGCTAAAGGTCGGCGCTGATTGGCCAGACTTTACTCAATAATAACTCCTTTATTAAACGTTATAAAAAAAAATGGTAAAGGACTTTTCTTTTTAGTTTAAACCAATCTACCTTCACACTTTGGATGTGTCAAAAATTACCGGACACCCTGTATACATATATTTTATAATAGACATTATACTTAATGTATACAGGGTGTATCCTAAAAAGTGGGAAGTATTGCAATGAGAGATTCAGGACACAAAAATAAGAGAAAAAATTCATATAAACATATGTCCGATATGACCGTGTTTTCAAGTTATAGCTTGTTTTATTTTATGTTACAGAATTAAGATAATTACGGTTACAGGAAGTGCTCAAAATGACTACCTCTAACTTCAATACAGGCTTCAACACGTCTCATCATAGATTGTCTGACTTTTTCAAAAATTCCGGGTATTGCTTGAATTTCCCGGCAACCATCTTCAACACGTTGACGAAGTATCTCGACGTTGTCAATGGGTGTTTTGTAAACAATGGATTTTAGATGCCCGGAACCTTTTCATTTGTTTTACTGTGCCCCCGGGCGCGATCGGTATCGATAGAGTTATTTTGGTCAGGCGAGCACGAGCTCGATCGTAACGAACTACAAAGCGAGTGCATACTCTTCCCAATTTAATTTGTTTTTTTTTCTTTTTAATAAAATCTGTGCATTATTTACATATCTTATTTGTATCAAAACGACGTTTACTCTCGAATTCGGAATTTATAAGATTAACCAAGCAAATTATTCTTCGGCAAAAGCTTTTCTATTTTTACTTTCTGTCCGGGTAAATAATTCTGTCAACGCTGTACCATCGCTACCGTAAAACTTTTTGCCAAGACAAGCGGATCGACAGTCCTGGACAATCTCGTCGCGCTTGAAATAAAAACGATCCATATTATATACCATACGATTCTCGAGCGAGACGATTGCTCGACAACCGGGACAGAGCGTAGTGTTGGGCACGTGTGCGATCACGTCATTAGGACCACCCTTCGCGGTGCATTTTTTCAAAAGCGTAATGGTGCTTCGTGCGCGGAACATTTAGCCCGGGCCCACGGTAAATTGTCCCGGGCCCCGGAGGTGCGACTGCAAATGACACCGGTCGGCAACGTGCCCCGCAAAATTGCGACGCTCTAAGCCAAATCTCCGCCAGTCCGCGAATATTCGCACGAATCTCCATGCACGCTTTTCTGAACGTAACACCCAGGCGAAAGCCTGGTGGCTTTCGGGATTCCAAAGGGGCCCCGTCGAACGGGGGCGCAATATATATGTTTACGGCATTTATCGGACGCACGGAAATGCAAAATGATCCGCGAATTACGCGCGCGGCTAAACACGCCGGTGATGCAACAACAATAATGTTTGGAACTAACTCCTCGCATGCCACGATACATTACAAGGCACTTGTAATAATAACAGTAATAATATTAATAGCAATACTAATAATCTTGCATTACCGTCTGTATTGTACGAACCGCTCGACAACTTGCTCCGTGGAAAGTAACAAAATTTTTGTATTTATGTGTAAAGAAAAAGTGTAAAGAAAAAAACAAATAATTGTCTTAAAACATACATTGTAAATAATTACATACTTTTTTCTTAAAAACAATTATTTTTTTTTTTTACTAATTGATTTGTCTCATTATTCTGTACATAAAAGTATTACGGTGAGATTATCGAAAACTAAATATTTTCCGAGATATATTTTACTTTTAAAATCAAAATATGTCAGATTAAGATATAAAATAACTCAAAAAATATTTAATGAAAAAATACTTTATTATAGTGTTTTGAAAAGCACTCAAGATAAGCTACAAGAATATGCAATAAAAAATGGGGGATTCCATTTAAGAAAACATCGATCATATTAACCTCACCTTGAAAAGGTCATTCAAGATCAAGTCCATATTTTTATCATGTGGCCCTTTCGAAATCATGCAACTTTTGTCTGAAACATTTTTTCCAATCTCTTTTACTTTAAAAGATATTCAGCTGTATCACTTAAAATGATACATCCTGTATATATATATACGAGGACTGACAATTAAGTTCGTAGAAAATATTTATTACAATTACAGAACACACTTATTCGTTATCTAATAGCGTTTTCGAATGAACAGATTAAGACAACCCAGATCAATAAATCACTATATTTTACTATGAATTCAAGCCTTTTATTGGCAGAGACGATGCAATGACGTCATTAATCGCTCTCAGAGCCATTAAACCTGCTACCTGCTACATTCGAAAACGCTATAATACACGGTCCCCTTTAAAATAGTCCCTTCCTAAAGCAATGCACTTGCTCCAATGTTTTTTCTATTGCAGGAAGCAGTCTTCAAAATCATTCTCCGTGAGGTTGTTTGGAACACGCGTCAACTATTCCATCTCCGCTCGTGACCCCTAATGACGATTCTTCATGTCTTTCTTGATCTAGAGGAATAAAAAAAAATCGGTGGAGGTCAGATCGGGCCCCCTTGACTTTTTTCTATTCCCCAAAATCAAGAAAGACATAAAGGATCGTCATTGGGGGTTACGAGCGGAGATGGAATGGATGACGCGTGCCCTAAACAGCCTCACAAAGAATGATTTTGAAGACTGCTTCCTGCAATAGAAAAAACATTGGACCAAGTGCATTGCTTTAGGAAGAGACTATTTTAAAGAGGACCGTGTATTAGATAAGGAATAAGTGTGTTCTGTAATTGTAATAAATATTCTCTACGAACTTAATTGTCAGTCCTCGTATACTCCGTCCAGCAAGAGAACAACCACGGTCTGCACATAGGCGGACAAAGTGGGGAGAGCGTGGCGCGCTATTCGGTACCGTAATTAATATTATATAAAAGAAGGTTAAGTTATTATATTTAATGTATGTATTTACTTGCGCAACCTATGATGCATTGCAAAAAGCCGCGAGAGCTAATAACATAGACTGCGGTCGGGAAGACGCTAGAAATGTTTCGAAGCGTTTGATTGACCAATCAGGACAAAAAGAGTAAAGATTTATTTATTCTGATTGTTTAATGCAACGCTTCGAAGCATTTCTAGCGTCTTCCCGACCGCAGCCATAGTTTACCTTATTTAGCATCTCTTTTCAATAGTGACTGCGCACAATCAATTCTTTATATTGCATTATGGATTGCGAAAGGTTCATAACTTAACCTTCTTTTATATAACCTTACCGTATATATAAATATAGTACGCCCGAGCTCAATTATAATTTCAATGTGATATAAAAAATCGAAATCGTTGTATTATATTTAAATTACACAGTTGAATGTTTATGATTCACAAGATAATTAATAATAATAATATATTTTTATTAGAGATCGTTCATATTATGGAGAATTTTAGATTTTGGGGGACTTTGTGAACACTTTACTAGCAGAAAACAAAAACAAAAAAAAGAAAGCAGTACGGCAGTGTGGAAGGGAACTTTCTAGGCGTTTCGTGAGGAGAGAACTGTCCGAAACGGACGAGCTTTCGTCCGATCCGTGGTTGTTCTGTCACTGGACAGAGTATATATATATGTATATACAGGGTGTCCGACAAGTAAGTGACCAAACGAAAGGTGGAAGTAGATTGGGTCAAAGTGAGTCGAAAAGTCCTGAACCATTTTTTTATAACGCTGCTCATAAAATTATTCATCAATAAAATTATTGTTGAGTAAAGTCTGGCCAATCAGCGCCAACCTTTAGCCGGGCGCACGTCGTTGAGCCGCGCGCCGTGAAGTGTGCGCCGCCGCATATTACCAGGCGCGCAGCTCACCGATGTGCGCCCGGCCACCGACGAGATACTATTAAAGATCGTCAGCCCTGGGTAAAATTTTGTGACCATCAAGTGGACCCGATGGGCCCGGAGGTAATTGAAAAATGTTGACATTACCGACCGTTTGATTGAATCGAAGATAATTACACGAATTATTTAATTCATACGGTTATTTTACTTCATCCAGTTATTATTTTATTATCGAAAACACCGACAAGATATCATTAGAGACCGATGGTCTTATAAGATTTAGCATATTACTGGAAAAAAACTCGCCACGCGCTAAGTAAATCTTTGCATTGTCGATAATAAAACAGTAAATTTACAATAAAACGTTTATTTTGTTGTTCTTGAGGCAGTTATACAGGGTGTCCCAAAGCACCCTTGACAACGCTCGTGAGCAATTAGAGCACAGTAAACTGAACAGAAAAGTCCTGTAACATTTTTTTCTATAACGCTTAATAAAGGAGTTATTATTGAATAAAGTCTGGTCAATCAGCGCCGACTTTTAGCCGGATAAAAGATCTATACATTTTTGATAATAAAACAATAACTGGATGAACTAAAATAACGCGCAGCGAGCTTTTTTTCCAGTCACACTAAATCCCATGAGACCACCGGTCTTTAATGATATCTCGTCGGTGGCCCGGCTAAAGATCGGCGCTGATTAGCCAAACTTTATTCAATAATAACTCCTTTATTAAGCGTTATAAAAAAAAAATGGTTCAGGACTTTTCGACTCAGTTTGACCCAATCTACCTCCACCTTTCGTTTGGTCACTTACTTGTCGGACACCCTGTATATATATACAGGGTGATTCAAAACAACCTGATGTTCTAATGTCCTTGAAATGTCATATTCTTGAGCGAATTCTGATACGATTTTTCTTTTCACAAAATTTTGTCCGAAGCTTAGTTTTTGCGTTATAATTGAAAATAGTTAGCACCTTAGGAGTTTATTACAACGGGCAGACAAGGACGGCGCAACGCATCACAAGACTCACTTCATAATTTCACAATAAATATCACTAGAAACATATTACTGTTCTTACTGCAGTACTTTATTATTACTCGCAAATATCAATTTCCACACAAATTAAGGCATAAAATCCCACAATAAATAATATTTATTGTAAAATTGTGAAGTGAGTCTCGTGACGCGTTGCGCCGTCCCTGCCTGCCCATTGTACTGGACTCGTAAATAGATAACTATTTTCAATTATAACTCAAAAACTAAGCTTCGGACAAAATTTTGTAAAAGAAAAAATCGTCTCAGAATTCGCTCAAGAATATGACATTTCAAGGACATCGGGTGTTTTGAGTCATTCTGTATATATACACCGTCGAACAATTAAGTTTCGAGACTCGCTTCGCATTTCCGAACGTTTGATCCGTTTTAGGGGGTTATTCACAAAACTCAATACTCAACACGTGATGCAAGTTTTAAATTATTTGGTTCAATAATTAATGAGATACAGTCACGCGAAGTTGTGTTACAAAATTTTGTTTAAAAATCGATATAATGGAAGGAACGCTTGACAACGCGCCAACATTAAATTCTGCGTTAAATTAGAGATGCCGCCAACAGAAATGTTACAAATGATTCAACAAGTCTACAGAGAGTTAGCTATGCATAACGTTTCGAAGATACAGATGACATTAAAAAAACGCGAATCAAATTTTGAAAGGACTTGCTTCAGAAGACTATCAGAGCTGCTTTGAGCAATGGCGGAGACGTTGAACTAATAAGTATGCCGAGTTAGGTATTAGTGACTACATTGAACATTTATAACATTTCTGTTAGCGACTTCTCTAATTTAACCACAGACTTCTATACATATAATATACTAGATTGCTAACAGCGATGTGACAGGTGAAGCTAAGGCAGCCATTTACAATTGGGCAGATATATATATATATATATATATATATATATATATATATAAAATATAAGATATTATACAT